AGGATTTGACATACGCTGCGATAAAAACAACATTGGTGGAACACTTCGACCGGCCGAAAAATAAGTATGCTGAAAGCATTAAATTTCGCCAACTGCGCCAGGAGCCGGAAGAGAGTATTGCGAGTTTTGCTTTGCGACTACGACAGACTGCTGCTCATTGCGAATACGGAGATTTTTTGAACTGTATGCTCATCGAACAGTTACTCTTTGGCTTGGAATCTCGCGGAATGTGCGATGAAATTATTGCGAAAAACCCGGAGACGTTTGACGCTGCCTACAAGGTTGCGCACACAATGGAAGCTACACACAAGACATCTGTAGAAGTGACAACGGATCCGGCCGGAACGACAATAACAACAAACAAGTTGGGTTATGTGTCAACGGGATGCAAAAAAGAAATCGTTCAAAGTGCGTGTTCGGAGCTCCTGCTGTGGAGTTCCTGGGACATAAAATCGACGCTGCAGGAGTACATAAGTCGGACAGGCATATTGAAGCAATACGGGATGCAAAAAAGCCGTCGAGCCCCGAAGAACTACAGCTGTTTTTGGGAAAGGCAACTTATTACAGCGCATTTATTCCTAACCTTTCCACACGGGACAGGCCTCTCCGAGATATGTTACTCCACGACAGTTTCAAGTGGACAGCAAGCGCCGAGACAGCATACGCAGAAATCAAAAGTGCATTGATTTCACCACAGGTGCTAATGCAGTACGATCCGGAGCTTCCATTACTGCTAGCAACGGATGCCAGTAGTACAGGACTGGGGGCGGTGTTGTCGCATCGTCTGAGTGATGGAGTGGAAAGACCGATAGCTTATGCCAGTCGAACGTTAAGCACGACAGAGCAGCGCTACCCACAAATGGATAAGGAGGCCCTTGCGATAGTTTGGGCTGTGCAGAAATTGTTCATGTACCTGTATGCACATCACTGGACATTAATAACTGACCACAAGCCGCTGTCACAGATACTACATCCAGAAAAATCGCTTCCGACGCTTTGCATTAGCCGTATGGCCAACTACGCCGATTTTCTGGGAAACTTCGATTTCGACGTTGTTTTCAAACGAACGAAGGAAAATGTCAACGCAGACTACTGTTCCCGTGTTGTTCCAGGGTGTGGAGTAAACCTATTGAGAGAGATGACTATCGGACGAGACGAACAGTTCGATGCATTCGATTGTTTTATGTTGCATCAAATCCAACAGCTACCAATCCATGCTCAACGAATCGCCCAGGAAACACAGCGAGATGACGTCTTGGGCAAGATTCTTCGCGCTCTCGAGGAGGGCCAATCTTTGGAACGTGTAGGCTTCAAGTCCCCCGAAATCAACTACAAAACTGCAGCTGGATGTCTAGTATATGAACACAGGGTGGTAGTACCATAGAGGTAACTCTAAGACCACTGGGTCCCGAAGAACATCATTTTTATTTTTGGCTCACTCAGTACCAGAACAACGGTCCCAAGCAGTCCCAAGCTATTTCACTCACCCCTGCATGTTCTGCATGAATCCACACACCCCTGATGTTATCTGTCAAACTTTCATAGCGAATCAAAACAAACATAGTGTAGTAATAGAATTTCAACTAGAATAGGGTACGTTAATCGTTTGCTTGGGACCAATAGGCTACTAAAGTGGTGAGCCAATTTAAAATCGTTAGTTTCGTATTGATTGTTGGTAGTACCGCGCTCTTTGCAGGAAGCTGTACTGAAGGATTTACACGTCGGACATCTAGGAATAGGGTAGATGAAGGGGCTGGCGCGATCGTTTATTTATTGGCCCGGAATCGATGCGGACATCGAGCGCGCTGCAAAGGAGTGTCATGAATGTGCCAAAAATGCCAACGATCCTCCAAAGTTTCGCGATCACGTGTGGGAGTACCCGAAGGCGCCGTGGGAGCGCATTCATATAGATTATGCTGGGCCGTATCTTGGAGTGATGTTACTCATAATCACGGACGCGTATAGTAAGTGGATCGAGGTGAAGGTTACCATCAGCATGACCACTAGTGCTACAATTGCTCTCCTAGATGAACTTTTTGCAGCGTATGGAGTACCCACAACTATTGTTTCAGATAATGGAACTAATTTTACATCTACTGAGTTCAAGACTTATCTTCGGATGGTAGGCGTAAGGTATCACAAGTTAACTGCTCCGTACAACCCATCAACCAATGGACAGGCCGAGCGTTGTGTCCAGACAGTGAAGAATGCCTCGAAAGCAATGGATACAACGAGAAGCAACATTCAACTCAATTTGAACGAGTTTCTTCGACAATACAGAAGAGCACCTCATTCTACTACTGGTCAACCGCCATGTCAACTGTTTCTCGGTAGGAACATTCGAACACGCCTGAACAGGGGTTGAAACAGTCGACGTTTTTTACTACACTCGCTTCGTTGTCGTGCGCGACAGTCTGTTTGTATTCGAACACTCATGTTCTACCGTCGTCTCTCTCACGAGCGGTAGAATAACATTCGAGCTAAAAGAAAATTATCAAAATAGCTATCATATGACATGTGTGACTTCGTTGTAATTCCTGAATTTGGTGTAAATCAAACCATTTCTGATCAGAAATATAATTACTAGGACATCATTGCTTGCTATTTTCAGAATTCACACAAGCACACCATCAGCAGCTCTTGTTATGATAAAAACTAAAATACATACATTCGTGACGGTCTTCGGCGACAGTGTCGTATGACAGACCCTTTCATATGACATTTTAGTTTGGTACTGTACTATGAAAGCTTGTTTTGCTAGTGTCGGAGGCAAAGGCAGTCAATTATCACAGAAAATGTGTCGACTACCGTGACCGCTTACAAGACTACGCCTGAATCTACTGCTGCCAGCGGATCTCACTACAAGAATCTGCCAACAACAGAAAAATAAGTTGGATTCATCGTTTCGTGAGTTTGGCGTCTCCCAGCCAGTTTATTTTCGGTCTTTCAACCCACGGATGGATAAATGGGTCTCCGGTGTAATTTCGGCTCGCTTAGGAGACTTGCACTATCAGGTTGACTATAATGGCAAAAAGTGTAAACGGTATATCGATCAGCTCCAGAATCGCGTACCTGGTTTGCCGAGAAATGGCTGTGGTATGAGTGACAAACCAGATCCATATTCTTCACGATTTGCGTTGGAATCAACACCAATCGACGGTTCCACTACAGCCGGTCTTCAGGAACAGCCACCATCACCCCAGGTATCAACAAACAGTGGTGGTGAGCAGTTCACCACCCCGAGCATCACCCGCGATGCTAGCGGAGTGGTAACACCTCCAGCAGCTCCACGAAGGTCGACAAGAGCTAGGAAGCCACGAATCATCTTCTCGCCAGATGGCCATTAAAGGAGGGAAATGTGTTATGTTTTCATACACAAATCAACGTTTCTGTACACACTGGCTTCCGCACCTGAACAGACTGGCAGCACTGAGTGTTTTTGACATATGTACCTCTCTTTACCCTTCAGTTTAAAACATGTGCTTTTATCGAATAAACGTAATTTTCCTAATCAGTAATAAACGTTAGCATTACCATTATTCAATATTTGAAATAAACAAACATGTCAATCGCTGATTTCTCGCGAATTAAAATACAATCTCGTGAACAAACTATACTAAATGATAGAGGAGCCATTCTTCTACCTGTTTGTGTTGTTAGTTTTTGAGATTGAGCTTTAATTCTCGAGAAATCGGCAAATGAAGTGTTTGTTTACAAAAGCAATTACGCTCTAATCTCGAAGTTATCCGGATCTCTTTCATTCTCCCGCCGTTTAACCGGTTGGAGGAGTGTGACGTCAAACTCCATCATCCATTTTATCAACGGGAGAACAAAAGATCCCACATGTTTACTGGGCCTCACCTGTTTACGCTCATTGATTTTCCATATGTGAATATCCTTATGGCTTTGTTGTCGTTTGGAACCAGTTTTGCGAGGTAGGCGACGATTGTTCGTATTTGACAGTCATCTCCCCCCTCCCCCCGTTTTGAATACACTTACCATTGGCTTGCAAAATCTTAAAGTTTGACAAACCATCGATACAAACGTATTATTGATTTAATCACGGTGAAATAATTTATAATATTGTTGAGCTCGATGTGTCGAAATAAGGGATTTCGACGAAGTAGCGCTCTACCCTATCGAATTAAATGATCGTATCTACACGGCTTTAAAATAATAAGCTGTGTGTCCAAAACTCATGCAAAGCTAACACAGCCAATAGGGGGTCCATAATAGGTAATTTGACTCTATTTTAATAACTTTCGCCATATGTCCGATGAACTTGACCATGGAGAATGAATGTCTCGTCGAATCCCACCGGCAAATTATTCTCTCTATCACCTCCAGCCACACCATTCTCCAAATAACCGACATTGTTTACCAATCTAATTGAACAAAACACCAACCAACCATCCGCTCGTAGCATTCTAGTCACAACAGTAAAATACCTACGAAGTAGGTAACCAAGCCTGGGCGACAAGCAAAACGTGTCGGCGTGCTTCGGATTACGCGCCATGAATTGATAATAAAGCAAACTTTGGCACACATATTCCCTCCGATTGACCCAATGATATGAGGCGCGCAATAAATATAAAAAAAAAGATTGTACACCAATTGCATTGAGGGAAGCGCTACAAACCGGACTCAAAGCCGATCATGTGGAAGGCGATTCTAGAACCTAGAGATTGCGTCGACTCATCCGTCTCGGGGAAACGTGTCTCGAATACCACGGCCGTCCACCCGCTGCCAGATCATCGAATGCGTACGTAGCAAAGATCCACAGGAGATAAATTGGGAGAAACCAGAAGGCAGGAGTCGTTAAAAATGCCTGCTAATGATAATTTCAATTGGCCCGGGCGGGGTGAACAAGGTTTGCAAAAAGGAAATGCCGTCCACCTTTGAAGGTCGTGCACTCGGTAATTGAATTGTTTTGCAATTATTCGTTGATTGAAATTCGGGAATTTCCCACCAATTGGAAAGCATGACATTGAGAAACTTACCTTTTACCACATCATAATCATCCACACCGGTAAGATGCTCGTTCCAAAGGGTTTTGAACTGCTCCGCAGCATTCCGATGGGGCTCGGGTACTGAATCCAGTTTGATCTCGCTCAGATCCGGTAGGATATTCTTGCCGACGTAATCCTTATTTAATGCCGAGGAAACATCACTTTCCGCTGCAGTGCAGTAACTCGCGAGCATCACCAACAGCAGAGGAAGCAACCGGCCCGGAGTCATTTTTCTTCTTCCACCCACTCTCATGTACTTTTCCTTCATCTTTTAATTTATCTCGCTATTGTTTCACTCGCGCTAATTTGGCTAGGTTTCACTGTCTTGCTGTGGGTTCACTTGACGTACTGTGGGTTTCCTTCGTTTCTACTTTTCCAGCACAAGTGGTTGCATCATTTCTACAGAGTTATTGTTTTTCACCCGTGATAGTGTCGGATTTATCGCTGTAGGGAGGAAGAAAAATTACTGCAACTGGAAAGTTTTGTTTGCATCGTAAATCACTTGGCTGTACCTATCTTGAAACTTTTACTGCCACTGAACTATTTGCCACCGCCACCACTAGAATCAATTGCTGCTGATAAAAGTTGGAGAATTGAGGTCTTAAAGTGCCTAGTCGAGAATAATGTGTATTTCTAGGTGTCAGTTTGGATAAATATTGTTTGCAAATATGTGAACCCATTTTTTTTTGCATCAAGGAGTGGGGTTGGGCCTAGAGTTTAGCCCCTCCCTTCAAAGGCTTGTGGCTATAAAAAGTTGTCTGTCTATACCTACAACTTTTGAATCAACTTTTATACTTTTTCATATGTACTAAATGTGAGTTAAATGTCGTTCAATCCTTTTGTATGGAAATATCGATAACCTTTTTTCTGTTCAAGATACCTCGATAAAAAATCTCTGTAGTAGTTTCAAAAGTATTTTCTTTCAAATCGTGAAAAATTTTTAATTTAAAACTAGTTCAAATTCTGATTTTCGTTGGATATTTTCTCTGAATATCTTTCAGAGAGGTGTTAGGATTTCCTTAGCATCATTCCAAAATGTTGTCAGAGTATCTTTCAGGATTACCCTTAGTGTTTCCTACCCGGGAAATTAAACAAAAAAAAAGCATTTTCCGTATTTAGGACTGGTAGCAGGTCACTTTTAGGTAGCTAGGTCACTGTTTTCAAGTCACTCACTAAAAAGTCACGTTTCTCATCAAAAAGTTATGATTTCTTAAAATGTAGTCCACAACAAATCACAGCTTGCAATTCGCAATTGCAATCACAGTGTGTAAAGTCTGACAAGAAGAGTTGCGAACAGACTGTCGACGAGACGAAACTCCAATCCAAACCATCATCATTACGAATATAATCCGATAAGCTTTTTCTGAAGTAATCAGACATCCGAAGAGTGAGATATCTGAATGGATCCATGCCGCTTACGCTTGGCGTGTTTAGTGTAGGTGACAGCATCACGGACCTCATTTTCCAGAAACACCTTCAGCACCACCTCGTAGACCGGAGATACGTTTGACACCGCCACGGCGAGCCTGACAACGGATTGTGGTTATCTTGAAGAACTTTGCGATGACGCTTGGCGACTCCTTTACCAGACCTTTTCCTCCTTTGCCACGACCAGTCAATTTTGGCTTGTTGGGTGTGAAGGAGTGGACTAGCCACCACCTTCCTACTACTGCTATTGCTACTCACCACGCCGTCCGAAGCGAAAATGAGCTAATGCTAGTAGTAGTAAAATTTACGTTTATTTTCTGGGTTTTTATGTTTCAACATTTGATTTAACATTTCAATTGGTTAGCCAGCGAATCCAAACACATAAAGCAACCAACGATACAGACAAAACGGTTGCTACGACTACCATGACAAACTCGCTCTGTAACATAGCTCGATCCGAGTGGTAGAAGGATAATGATATATTGCTTGCCTGCTTTGTTGCAATATACACAGATGAGGACATAGCTTGATATGAATCGAGAAAAGACATAACAAAAAAATTCCCATTAACACACGTGTATCATCTTCGGCTTTACTTCGTGAAACAGCTTGCCAACAATTTGCTCGTTTCCTTCTACCACCCCTAGTGAGTTGTGTCGCACGGGCTGCTTGTTATGAAAAAGAAGGAAGAAGATTATATCATTATTGCTTTGTACTTCTGACATAGCGTTATTATTCGGTTCGTTGATCGCTTGTCATTTTGTCATTTGGAGATATTTTTGATTCCTTGTGGTTAGCCTTTGGCTCTTCATCTTTGTTCTAGTTAATTGGTTATTCTTATATGATGATTGCGTTTAGCGCTAATTTATAGGATACCCTTTGTGGGATTGTTTTGGTTTGAATTTAAAAATTTGATAACCTACCTAATTGAGCAACTAACTACTCAAACTAGGTTGCCAAATCACGAATGATCTGGTGGTTTGATCGCAGACAGGCGACTCTGAACCTTTCCAGCGTGGAAGTCTTTCGCTCCTCGAGTGTTTGAAGAACGCCCAGGTGGCGAATCTCAGAATTACGAATTCACGGTGGACTGTTAAGGATCATTCTGAGGATCTTGTTTTGGATCCTTTGAAGTTTTAGGTGGTGGCACTTAGCACAACTCTCCCAGATTGGCATACCATACTCAATAGCCGGCAGAATGATTTGCTTGTGGACAGCAAGCTTGTTTTTGAGGGACAGGGTGGACTTCCTGTTTATCAGAGGGTAGAGCGACCTGATCAAGATGTTACACTTGGTGGATGTCTTGTCCACATGGGATCGGAATAGGAATTTGCTATCGAGGGTGAGACGAAGGTAGACTACTTCACTCGACCATTCAATGGGAGTGCTATCAAGATGGATCAAGATGGATCTTGACGTTAGCAGGCGGAACAAGCCGAGGTGAATACGAGTGTGGAAACAGAATGGTTTGTGTTTTAGCTGCATAGATACAAATCTTCCAGCTCTTAAAATAGTCGGACAAAACATCCAGGCCTGATTGTAGTTAACTCGCCAGAGCACGGATCACTCGACCCTTATAGATGATGGAGGTGTCATCTGCGAACATTGACAGGATACCACCACCCGGCAGGGGAGGAACGTCTGACGTGAAAATGTTGAATAGGATAGGCCCAAGCAAGCTACCCTGAGGGACCCCTGCATCAACGTTGAACGTATGACAGGGGACATTGTTCAAGTAGACCTGGAATGATCTGCCCGACAAGTAGTTTTTGATGATCTTCACGAGGTAGATCGGAAAGTTGTATCGATGCAGCTTGTACACTAGACCATCTTGCCAGACATTGTCGAACGCCTTCTCGACGTCCATGGCCATGGCAGATGTATTGGAAATGGACTTATTCCGTTGATGATTTTAGTAACCCGTGCAAGTTTGTGGAGTTGGTCCTAAACCCGAATTGCTCTTTGAGAAAGATATTATTGTCATTTGAAAACACCAGCTGACGGCTGAGTATCAACTTTTCGAATAGTTTCGAGGACAAGAGGCTGATGGGGCGATAGCTTTTGGCACTAGTAGGATCATTGCCAGGCTTGTGTATTGGAATCACTTTGGCTAACTTCCAGCATGCAGGGAAGTAGCCAAGCTCCAAACAGTTGTTGAAGATAATGGTAAGATGGTTGAAGAAGTCAATACTCAAATTTTTCAACTCGAGGTTGACTACACCATCCATACCCGCAGCCTTCATGTTTTAAGTACTTCTAATAGCTGCTATCACCTCATCAGCCGATATTCTACTATGATCATGCACTACTACGGGGGTGTCAGCGACTCTAGTCATTGCCTCCAGTGCGGCAGGCCCATGGGGGCTCACCATGGTTTGACCAAGATTATGTGAAATCACAAAATGTTGGCCAAGAGCATTGGTCTTTTCAACTGGGGTTATCAGTAGAGATGGGTCTAAGTGGTCAACAGAGGAAAGCGGAGGGATCGGTCTCGAATTATTTTTTCAAAATTTTGGTCATCTTCCAAAATGGTTTTGCACAATCTGGGAGAGAGCGAATCTTGTTGGTAAAGTCGTTATTTCTGAGTTCCACCATCCTGGCCTGGATAATTTTGGTTAGCCTATTGACATTGGTCTTCAAGTGGGGCAGCCCAGAACGCTGGAACTGCCTACGAATGGTGTTAAGATCTTTGGTTGGGATGTCAAGGTTCAGAGTATGACTCACCTGTCTGGATGCTGGTACGTATTGCTCCCTAGCACGGGATATGAGATAATGCTATACAGCAGCACCCTTTTATTTCTTTTCAGGTTAAAGCAGAATGATGTGCAACCAAGTGGTACTCGATTATGAGGACTGGGTTTGGGAAGAACGTTTATTCCTTGAAAACAGTGATAACATTAAAACTTTTTATTTGTACATTGGACAAAGCTTGACATTACCACTTTTTTAATACTTTCACGTTAAAAATCATCATGCGGAAGCAATTTTATAGATGCGTCGGAAGATCTACAATGATCGATTGGTGATAAAATTTTTGAAATTGGTCCAGAAGCAGCTGAGTTATTAATGTTCAAAATCTTTCATAATTTGTTACATGTTCCGTTTTCGGTTTTCACAAAGTGTACCCCTAGGGGTACGCAATAACCTTTAACTCCAACGCAGGCAACGGCTGTAAGTAAATTAATTCCATTAACTACTGCTTTAATTACATTAATTACACAATGTAGAACATTAACTACTTTTTAACTATATTAATTACAGTTGAAATTTCGTAATTAAAGTACATTAATTACATTTTCATTACTTTTAATTACATTAATTACGAAACAGAAAGTCGATGAAGAGAATCGATCAAAATCACTTGCACCCCTGCTTCCACACAAAATGCTCTCCACAGTTGTATTCTTGTATTACAACTCTGGAGAGCATTTTGTGTGGTTTTTGGAAGCGTGTTGTTCTGAATATGGCGATCAGTGTGCACAATGTTGCGCAACCGAAGATCGAAGGCGAATGTTACTTCGGTTCACGTGTACTAAGAAAAATTCAAAGGTTGTTTTTATGTGTCCCACACATGAATTTTTGCAATGTGATGTTTGAACTTTTTTAAGTGTGTGAGGCATGGAAAATCATTTGCATTCATTTGCCCCTAACTTTTTCATCAACAGAATTCCTCAAAATGATGTATGGAGCTTTTGTAGGTTTTGTTATTAGCTAAAAGTTTCGATAAAATTTTAAATCCGTATCTCTTATGCATGACGAACCAGAGCGAACAGAAGCCACTACCGTTTTTCAGTGAATGTATTTTACATTCACTGAAAAACATCAAAAAGTTCTGCCCGCTCTAATTCGTGATGCATAAGAGATACAGATTTGAATTATGACCAAAAGTTGTAGCTAATAACAAAACCTACTAAAGCTTTATACATCATTTTGCGGAATACTGTTGATGAAAAAAGTTAGAGGCAAATGAATGTAAATGATTTTCCATGCCTGGTAAAGGGTCTTTTTTTTATTCC